ACGGTGATGCATGTGTTCGAAACGCAGAGGAACGAGGTCGATGAGCTCCTGCGAATCACTGCTGCAGTCGGGGATACTGAAGTCGAGGATGTAAACTCCGTTTTCGGAGTGCGCTCGCCCGATCTGCTTGCGTGATTTGTCCGGCATCGTGAAGTGAAGCAGAATGTCACGTGTCTCGGGGTCGGTGCTGAGGTCGACCCCGCAATCCATGAGCTGCGCCGCCGAGAGGAGATTAAAACGCAGATTCTACACGATCAGCACGTCGTTCAACGTGATGTGCGTTCTGCTCCCGCGGGCCTTGAGCTCAACGATGCCTTGCGCGTTTGCGCGCAGGCGCGTGTTGTTCGCCACGGTGACGTAGGTGACGGCGGGGGTGGCGATGGCGTTGGATATGTAACGCTCGGAGCCCACCATGTGCTGCCCACATCAGCTATCCAGGTACCACGTGTTGTAGCGCCTTGTCGTTACGTGCGAGCAGCGCCAGTCGCGGAGTAACGATGTGTGGTGTGTCAACCTTTAGGAATTGTTCGCGCGCGATCCAGTCGATCGGTGCCGCCCTTGTATCGGGTACGTGTGGGGGGCTCTCGAGCAGCGGGACTGGCAGGTTCCAGTCCTGGTTGTCGTCGTCAGTGAAATCGTGGCGCGTGCTAAACGGATTGTTGTTCGAAAACGCTCCGATTGGGTGACGTGCTTCCTCCGGTGATGGTGAGCGCGCACGGGGACGACGAGATCCGCTCGTCATTGTCATGTTGCCCATGACGTTGCGAACGGGAGCAGTTGGTGGCTGCTGCTGCTGCTGATGCTGAATCGTTGGATTCAGGTTGCGCGGTGGGGGTTGATGCCTCTGGGCAGGACACGTGTCATTCCTTGCGTCTTGTCGTCCGGACCAGTTGCTCGGATTGGTCTGACGAGGGCGAGATCGATGTTTGCATCGATCTGCCAGGTGCCCGAAGTTTCTGCAGATCTTGCAGTAAAGGCGCCGCGGCCGTCGCTCCTCCGTGTTGTCGGCGTAGAAGGCGAGGCGTTCCCTGTCTCGTCGCGGCGCTGGTCGCTGTTGGTCCATATCCCGTTGTTCGACGAGGAGGGCGGCGCAAAGGGCGGCCTCCGAGATGACCCCCTGCTGTCGGAGAAGCGCCTTGCAGGGCCGCCACTCTGGGCCGAGCCCTTGAAGCACAATGTTTACGAAGATCTCCTCAGAGATCGTGCTTCCCAATTTTGCGATTTGATCGCGTAAGCTCCGACAGCGATTGATGTAGCTGTTAGCCTTCTCCCCTGGTGCCATTCTTGTCTCCAGTAGCTGCTGGAGTAGGCGGCTCGACGAAACCGAGTCCTTCGGTTGGTAGACGCCGTTCAGGTGGCGCCAAGCGTCGAGGGCTGGAGCAAGTGTTGTCTTGTATGAGCGAATGCTCAATTGCTCTGCCGGCGACATATTTCGCGGAAGAACTCCGTACGCCATCAGGGACTCGTTGTAGTACCTTGCCTTGGCGTCGTCGGTGTCTTCAGCGGGTCCCGAGTAGCTCCCGTCGAAATAGTGGAATATCTGCGCGTTTTGCAGCAGCAGCTCCAGCTCGAAGCTCCAAGTATAGAAGTCTCTGCCGTCAAAGCACACACTTGTCTTCATTTTTTATATACTCAAAAACCTTGATTGCGCAGAGAGAATTGCCTCTTCGCTGGGACGGGGAGTTTTGGGAGTTGAGCCATTGGTGTCGAGGGAGAAGGTATGCGGGGCAGTATTGTGGCCGTTCGAGGCCGGTTGAGAGGGTTGGGAAGAAGTTCCCGCGTCGCCGTTCCGCAATGTCTGGAGTTGTTGCTCCAGGCTGGTGAGTCGCTGAAGCATCTGTGCGAGGGCGGCGGTTCCGATCGTCGTCGTTTCCTCGCTTGTCGCAGCCGGGTTGGTCTGCGCTTCAGCCGTCAGATTCGTCTGACCACCAGATCCTCCGGCCATTCTCACGCGTGAGCGTGTGCCGGACGCCACTTTCCGTTCGCCGAAGATTTCGGTGGTGGCGGTGCGAAGGATTCCTGAGTCGCTCTCATACCATGTTGCGATCAGAAGTTGATCGTCCCTAGGATCACCTCAGGAAGGTTCGCACACAATTGAGTAGTGGTGGTGGGCCCTTGACCTCAATAGCAGAGTGAAAATGCTTGAGATGATAAAAACATGCAAATACAGCACTATAAATAAGAGTACAAGGGAATACCAATCGTCCTAGCTAGCCATGTACTGTAAGGGGTACATTCCCTTATTACAGCGAAATCCAACCGTGCGACTCCAGACAGTTACGAGACTGTCCGGGCAGAATCCTCGCCACTGCTGCTGCCTGATGCTGTCTGCCCGACGGTCCAGATCCTTTCGTAACCGTACGACCCTTCGCGTCACTTCCGTCCTTTCGTCTTCATTCTCGGTAGTGCGTGCTTCGATTGCCGCGGTAAGGAGTGCATAGTGACACTTCAATAATTACTATTCGTAACAGGATGCACTCATGGGGTCCTCGAGTATTGACTCTCTCCTATATGGTTATTCAATTTGAGGAAATGCTTTGACACATTTTAAACTTAAATCTGGAAAGAAATGTATTGAGAACTCCTCTCTTCTCCACTCCCATATCTAGCTCCACAACATAGATGTAGAAAGACGAGTGAGGATAGTGCGAGGACTACACTACTGGGAATCTGTCCTTGTTCAGTCGCAATGTCTGTGCCGACAGTCACAAAGAGTTCACTGTGACGCGTACCGCACCGGCCTACGAGTGCCGTGAGGGTGCTGTACGTAGGCTGTGGGTCATGAAACGACAACTATGTGCAGTACAGCAGTTACACTTTTCAATGCGTACAGCTTCACTGTAAGGGGCGTGCTTGCCATGCCACCAAATCCCCCCCCTTCGTTTTTAGGCACCCTGCCATAAGGGTCTAGGGGAGGTAGAGTCCCCAATTGAGACGTGTACAATATTCATCTGGACAAGGGTTGCTGTGCACGGCTGATCCCCAGCACTAGTGTGCTTTCAGATTTCCGCCTTTCAAACAAGTAAAGATTCTGAAAATATCTGTGACGAACGAGATGGGGTTTCTCCACAAAAGCAACTTGAAATTGCGAGCTGTGTACTGCTGGGTCTTGAGTAGACTATAGACCGTGAAACATAACATATCCCATACAAACCCATTGGAAAAACATGTTACAGTAGTACGTAACCGTATTTTCAAGGTATTCAATTTTCAAAAGGTGTGGCCAGGCCACAACCCCCCCACGACAGCATCAAGCAGAACGGCCACATCAGCAGTTTCTGAAATCAGCAGCAAAGGAAGCAGCGGCGCAAGACTCCAGCAAAGCCAACTTGGGTCTCGGAGTTCACCAGATCTTCCAGGCTATTTACCGTATGAACACTAAACACTTGCCCGAGATTGAAGACCAGGGCCAGCATCCCAACTAACACTGCGCTATATAGGGGTCTCACTGTCCTGAATGCTGGTGTGGAAAAGACCACACAGCTGCTCACTGCGTCGAGCAGAGGTTGAAGCAATATGTCCTTGTTCGACGGAAATGTATCGACTACAAGTACAGCTGCACTCAAGAATGCAGGAACACAGATTGCAGGTGTGAAAAAACAAGTGTGGATTCTAGCCATCCGTCCCCCCCTCCCACTCCTCCCATGACACCTTGGTTCACAGAAGAGAAACTCGTGGAAGTAGAACACAGGTCATTTCCCCCACACAACCTTTTCGGAGGCCCATGAACTCCGTGATCAGGGGAATACTGCACCAGTTGATAGCTGCTGCTGACACAAATGTACAATAGTTGCGCAGACGCGACGCGACGACGACCCACTCACGTGAGGGGTGGGCTATGTACACCACGCTACAGTGCATCACCATCCTAGGCTTCAATTTCCGCGCGCCAATTGTTTGCGCCTCCCTCAACAGATTTCAGTCGTCCATGCTGCTGCAAATGCCGACACACACCCACCCAGCTTGTCGCGCGGATTTGCCCAACCCAACCTTTATTTGTGGAATGTCGTATCGACCGACATTTGCATGGATCGCCTCTTGTTGGCTTGTTTGTTCCTCAACGCACCCAGTCGTCGTTATTTTGGGTCCCCAGGAGGTTCAACTGGCTTTCGTCCTTCCGGAGGGAGATGCACCCAGTCGTCCGTCCTCGTTCTTCTAGCAGCCTAGCTTTCACTCACATGAGGTTTCTGCGATTCCTTCTCATATTCCGTCGAAAAGTTTCCACATTTCGCGCGTTTGTTCCTACTCTCCACCACACATAGCCACCACCATGATACCGCAAGCCGCACTAGCAGACATGCCGATTCGAGATTGGCAAACCCGCAATCTCTTCTCTCGTCACCATAAACGGCGCGTATCCATGTCTCCTGCGTTACCAGCACTTATGCTACTATCAGCGCTGCTGATGTGCCATTTAGAACCATCTTCGGGCCTATTCTTCGATTTTTTCAAACGTGAGCTCTCTCCCCGTTCGCACACTTGACTTTCTTCCTGCGTGTCGAATCCTCCCCTCTCTGATCATCCCCCCGATTTCCTCGTCTCCTCGCATTCAGGCAAAAAGCCTAAGAAGCAACACCCGCCTCCGTACACGTTCGGCGCAAATCCCGCAAAGGCTCCCCTTACGTCGCCGCATCTCAACGATCGTCGATTCCGCTTCGCGTCGATTGGCTTCAGCCTGTCGCTATCGCTATGGCAGCTTCCGGCGGGCAAGGACTGGTCGCAGGACTCGAGCGTCGCGTCGCTTCGCGGAGTCGTGGACCAAGGGCATTGCGGTGAGCGCGCGCACATATCACGCATTGAAAAATACCTTCGATCGCTGATGCGTGTGCGTACACGCGCCAACATTTTGTGCCGCTGCCAGCCAACCCTCCCCTTAGTTCTGAGCCACGAAAGACGGTATTTCCCTGTTCCAACCCTCTGTTCCCCGTCCGTTCATCGCGCGCCCTTCCGCAATCCCCGCAGCATCCTCCTGGGCCGTCGCGTCCGCGCAGGCCGTGGAAATGGCGTACGCGATACAGAACCCGTCCAGCAGCAGCATAGCGAACGTGTCGGTGCAGCAAGTTGTGGACTGCGGGGGCGTGACGGCATCGTGCGCGGCGGGCGGGTGGCCGTCGCTTGCGTTGGACTATATGGCGGACGCGACGACCGACGAAGGCGGGGTGGTGGCGGACGAGGATTATGAGTACACGGGCGCGCAGGGCACGTGCGACAACAGCAAGGTGAGCGAAAGAGGGCGACACCGATCGCATGCGGCGCGAGGCGAGGGGATGGCGGACGGGGCGACGGGAGGCGTGGGAGTGGACGGCGCGGGGCCTTCCTCTCCCACACTGTTCTTCACGACGTAGCCGGCGCGACTCGATCTTGTATCTCACTCCCCCACTCCCGTCCCCCCCGCGCGACCGCGGCGCGTGCAGGTGTCGGGCGACGCGTCGAGCATCGGCGTGGTGGCGTTGGAGCAAGCGGACTTCCAGGGGTGGCTGGGGCTCGTGCTGGCCGTGCAGGCGCAACCCGTGGTGGCCTTCGTGCACGCGTCTTACGACTCCTTCCTCACCTAGAAATCGGTACTGCGCGCCCCTATCATCCCGAACAGCGCTGCCGCCTCCGCCGTTATTGCCACTCCGCGCTCGCTGCGCTGCCCGTTGTCGTTCCCCGTCCGCCATCCTCGCGACCGCGCGCGCTTGCCTGCCGCGCAAAGTCCGGCATTTCCCGCGTTTCCCCGCTCCCTTCTTAATCCGCGCGTCTCCCGCTCCCCTTCCCCTTTTCTCCCCCTCCTCCCCCCCCGCGCGCGCGGCGGTGCACGACAGGGCGTGTACGCGGACAAAGGGTGCGCGAGCGAGATCGTGGATCACGGCGTGCTGGTGGTGGGGTTCTCGCTGCGACCCCCGCAGCCGTACTTCATCATCCGCAACTCGTGGGGCACGCACTGGGGCATGCAGGTGCGGGGATCGCCGCGCAGAGAGGGGAAGGGGGGAAGGGGTATGTCTGATGGGGTAGTAGCGGGCGTTGCGGGGAGGCAGGCCGCTGTAATGCCTGCGGTTTCTTGTCCGCTCGTGTTTAACCCCGCCGTCTTCTGCGTCCTACTGCTGGTCGCTTGTCCCCCGGCTTCCCTTGCTGCATTTCTGTGCGCCGCACTGTGCTGCGCAGCCTGGTATTCGTGTGCGCGCATCTCACAGCCGCTGCCTCCCCCCATCCCCCGCCCTCCCCCCGTCCCCATGCGAATCCGCGCTGGCAGGGCTACATGCGCCTGGCCATTGCGGGCGGCCCCGGCATCTGCGGCATCAACACAGTGCCGGCCATCTACCCCGTTCTTAAAAGTGCGCCTCTTGCTCCCTTACATGCTTCATTACTGAATCGCTTCTTGAGAATTCTCAACAGCAAGTCGGAAGCCGCCGACGCATCTCTGCCGTGTGATCAGAATCACATGAGCACTCCCTCTGCTCCTCTCCACTCACCTCTGTCCTCTCACCGGCTCCACCCTCATCCTCCTCTCGCAGCATCCGCCATCCCTTGCATGCTTCCCTTCCCTGCCCGTCCCCTCTCCCTCAACTCCCCTCTCTCTCGTCTCCACCCTTCCGGCCTTATCTCGCCTCCCATCTCACGTCCCCCCACTCCATCCCGCTCCACTCTCCCACCATCGCTCGCTCCCCCTCCCCCCTGCAGCATCCAACCCGTGCAGTGGATTCATCGACCCGTGTGGGTCGGGGACGTGCAATGCGGGCGTAAACGGGGCGTACACGTGCACGTGCCCGTCCTCCTTCGTGTCCGTGCCCGGCCTCAACAGCCTCCCCACATGCGTCCCAAGTAAGCTCTCCCTTTGCCATCGTTGACGCTCTGCCACACACACGCCGCGCGCCACGCACACCCCGCATATCACCCACGCCAAACACTCCCGTCTGTTTCCGCACACCTGCGCTCCTCTCTCACCCTCCTCACCACGAAGCTCCTCCTCTTGTTCACCCTACCCGCTCTTCTCCGCCGTTGCTGCTTGTATGCCCTCCTCCGCCCGTGTCCGCCTCGCTTGCTTCTGTAAAATATATCAACTCACCTCCTTGTATCACTTGCCGTTCTCCTCCCCGCTCTTTTCCCCATGCATCGTCGGGCAGAGAAGCAGTGCTCGTTGGGACCGTTCAACCCGTGCGGCACGGGAACGTGCATTCACGACAACGCAGGCAGCTACTTCTGCATCTGCCCACCGCTCTTCACCACTGGCGAGAAGGCCAACGGCAGCCCCACCTGCGTGCCTGGTGCGTTCCCCACCCTCCTCCACCCCAACCTTCTCCTGCCAGCGTTTTCCCTCTCTCCCTGTCCCATCAGAAGCCCCCTATCCCAAACTCCTCTCTCATACTGCACCGTTCTCAACCCCTCCGTTCCACCCCTACTGCTCCCCTCTCACTCCCCTCCCACCTCCTCCACACATCCCGTCCGTCCTCTTCTCGCGTGCGGCAGACGCGACCCCATCGGGCGCGGTGTACTTGACGCCGCCCAAGAGCGTGGCGTGTGACCTGGTGTACGGCATCAACGGGCTCACCAGGGCGCAGTTCCTCTCCCTCAACCCCTCCCTGCGCAACAACATCAATGTAACCCCGCCTGCCTCATGATCTGCCTGCCTGCCTGCCCGCCTGCCTGCCCACGTGCCTGCCTGCCTGCCTGCCTGCCTGCCAGCCTCCGCTCCTCCGCACAGTGCCCCCCTTGGCCACCACTCTCCTCCCATGCTCGCTGTGTCTCCAACCGCCTCTCATCGCCTCGCGTCCCGCTGTGCGTGCATCTCCCACCCCCCATGTGGCAGCCGGCGGTGTGTGACGACATTCCTGCCAACACACAGGTGGAGGTCACTCGCCCCTATGCAGGCGTCATCAACTGCGCCCTCTTCTACTCCTGGGAGCCGGTGAGCTGCGGGGGAGGAGAAGGGGGGAGTGGGGGAAAGAGGGAGGGGGAGGAGGGGGTGAGGGAGAGGGAAAGGGAGAGGAAGAGGGAGAGAGAGAGGAGGGCAGTGGTTGTGGCTTTGAGGTGTCGGGTGAGGACACCATTTGCCGGTTGTATGAGGCGTTGATCAGAATAGCGTTGGCATGCGGGTGTGTGTTGTGATGTGAGAGAGGAGTCCTAGTATCAACCAACCGTTGGAAAATAACTCCCTGGCTCGTTCTTCCTCCCCTCTTCATCTCCCTCCTCTCTTGTCATATTTCTCCTCCCTTGTCGCCTTGCTCCTCCCTCCCTGGCGTGCTGTGCTATGCAGTTGGACACGTGTGTGGGGGTGGGAGCACTGTTTGGCATCACCCCTGTCACACTGGACAACCTCAACCCGGGCGTAGACTGTGCTCTCAACCACGCACAGCCCTCCCAGCAGGTCAGCCCCACATATTTGCACGCATTCCCTCGTCACTCATCTCAGCCCCACTTAACCCCTCTTCACCCCATTCTGCACATTGATTTCAAGATTAATTGATGTCTCAACTTGCTCCCTCCTCCTTCATCCCCCTCCGCTGCCCCCTGTAAAACCAATCCCTGCCCACTCGTCTGATCTGATCCTTCCTTGCCTGCCTCTCTCGCACCTGCCACCCGCCCCTCACGTCCCCTTCCCATCTCCCCACTCCTCCCCTCCTCTAAATCGTTCTCCCCCTTGCCCTCTCCCCATGAACCAGGTGTGTGTGCGGTATGGAATACCATCCACCACGCGATGGTGCACACAGTGGCACACACTGCAGGACAAGGACTCGTGCACGCGCATTGTCCTCAAGTACAAGAAGACTCTCTCTCTCTCCCTGCGCCGCCTCTACGAGCTCAACCCCGGGCTGCGCTGCAACCACCTCTTCCCACTCACCTCTCTGCTCCCCGGCGCCAGCATGAAGGCCGCGGGGCAGCAGCTGTGCGTCGCAGGCACAGCACCACAATCGTACACCGCAGCCACACCGGCGTCGCTCACCCCTGCGAGGATAACCAGGGAGGAGGAGGAGGAGGAGGGGCGTGAGTCTTTCACACGCACTTCCACACCCGCACGCTCGTCGCTTGCAGCGCGGCTCGCTCAACTCTCCCGCAAGGCGGCACCGCGGCGGCAGCTGGCGACAGCGTGCAGGAAGGCATACACGGTGGTGCGGGGGGACACGTGTGCGCGCATCATCTCTCTCTACTTCCAGAACAGTTCGCGCAAGATGGCAGAGCTCAATAACGGCTATTTGTACCAACGATCGCCTCTATGCGGGGCTACGGTTGTGCACGCAGATTTAGCGGGGGGGAGAGCAGGGCCAGGCTTGGAGCCATGCTACTGTTTTTGTGGGTGTGGTTTGCAGGGTAGGGTAGGTGTACATGTTGCAGCATAGCTGTTTAGGCCTGATAAGTCTCATGCTTGTTCTTGTAATATATTCACATGTTGTGATATTACTACACTAAATTATACATGGTACTGGTATGTGTTCAACAGCCAAAGCATATACTTCGTCATGCAGACTTCCCGCTCCATGCCATATTCAGGTATTGTACATGACACTCTACAAATTTGTACATGCCACATGGCATGCAGTATGTGAGTCATGTCTCATGTTCCACAAAAAGCAGCCTGACCACTGACCATGTAACATGCTCCAACACAATTCTCCACAGCACTGCACCATGCGACCAGCTCAGCTGCGCACAGCATCGCCAGCCCGGCCTTGACTCCTCAAGCGCCTCAGCACCTCCCAGTGCCGCCCGCATGATGGATCCACATGCACTGCTGCCTGCACCAACCCCAGAGGGCTCCTCCCCCCACATCCTCCTCCTCCACTCCCTTCCCTCCCCCTCTCTGCTCCTCCCTCACTCTTCTCCTTCAACTCGCCTCCTCTGCCTCCTCCACCCTGCCCTGCTGCCCCATCTTTCCCTCCCGCGGCCCCACGCCCTCCTCCCTCTCCACCCCCACCACCCCTACCTGCTCCTCCCCTCCCCCCTCCCCCTCCTGCTCCCGCTCTGCCTTCCCCAATCCCAGCAGCAGATGCGCCTTTCTCAGATGTACCTTTCTCAGGTGCACCTGCCACTGCCTCCAGCCCTGCTAAAGCTTCTCCTAGTGCAGCGAGAACACGGGCTGGGCGGCAGGCAGAAGGCCATGCCGCCCATTCCTGTTGCAGGTGGGCGGCACGCTTGCGAGGGGCGGCAGAGCGCGAGGCGGCAAGGGAGTCAGCAGAGGAAAGCAGGAGGTGGAGGTGGGGGAAGAGGGAGGAGGAGGGTGAGGAGACGGAGAGCAGGTAACGACGTGCGGCGAGAGGGAGAGAGGAGTCGGGGGAATTGACTTGGTGGAGCGAGAGGAGGACAGAACCTGTTGGGAAGGAGGAGGGGGGGGTATGGGCAGGAATTGGTTGCTCATGAATCCAAAAGCGATGGAAGAGGCTGCTGGGAGACAGCGACAAGCAACAGGAATAGGATCGTGACAAATGCAGCACGAGTATCACACAGGCATGTCAACTGTACCTAGAAGCACGTGAGCAACGTCAAGCATGGGTTGCACAGCTGCCCCCGCCATTCCACCTGCCCCTGCTGCCTCCTTGAGCGACCCCACCACCCCCTCCAGCACCCTCCTTGCCTCGCTCAGCTCACCCTTCTCTGTACCAATCACAGCCTGCCACATCTGCACCGCTGACATTAACAGCAACTTGTTTTCGCCTTGCCCCTGCAGTCCTTCCGCTTGCAGTGCTGCCACCACTGCTTCAGCCTCTTGGCAGAAGCCAGAGGAGAAGAGAGACGAGGCAGAGGCAAGCGATGGGAGCAGAGAGGCAGGGAAGCTGGGGGTGACTGGAGGCGGGGTACGAGAATCTGTTGCAGGCTGCTGCAGCGAATGGCACCGCGCCACCTGACATTCAGCACAGGCGCGCAGCGCTGCTTTCTGATTGGCTGATGGGGATGAATCGGGGAGGAGGAGGCACTCTGATAGGGCGTGGGATGCGAGGGAGTGTGAGAGGGAAGCGAGGGAGAGTGGGGGCTGTGAGTGGTTGAGAATGGAGGTTGGAGAGTAACAGCACCGTGCAGCACACTCAGATGCTGACAAAAGCGTGTGCACCCAGAGCTCGCGCACCAATGGCGGTGTGCCAGCTGGAGCCTTGGCGGAGGATAGGTGGAGGAGAGAAAGAGACAGAGATGGAGGGGATGGAGGGGAGGTTGATGGTGGGGAGGGAAAGGCGGTGTGAATGAGGGAGAGGAGGGAGTGGGAGAAGCGGAGCAGGGAGGTGGAGAGGGGTGAGGGAGGGGGCAAGGGAGCTCCGAAGGGTGACACGTGGGCGGAAGGCGAAAGGGAGAGGCGGAGGAGGAGGAGGCGGAGGGTGGGATCGTTGGGGCGAGTGTGAATAGCCCTGCACACGAAGGGGGAGGGAGGGGGGGAAGTGGAGGAGGGGGTTGAAAGGGAGAGAGATGGGTAAACGATGGGGCCATGCAAAATGTGGAAGAACACGTGATCCCAGCCCAAAGGCAGTCATGCTATGTAGCATGAGCCGCTACACAAACAATGAGTCCTGCCTGCCTGCCTGCCTGCCTGCTAGTATCCTGCCCATGCCTCACCCACGAGCCCCCTCCCCCAACGTGCCTGGCCAGCAGCCGCAGCTGATTCCGCCCTGATAGGTGGCACTCCCTCGCACCACCCTCATCCCCACTGCCACTGCTGAAACTGCCACCGCCGCTACTGCTACCGCTGCTTCCGGGCACAGCAGCAGGCGTAGCCAGCGGTGCCTGGGAGTGTAAGCAGGCCCCTGCACCATGTGCCGTGCCTTGCGCACACGCACTGCAGGCCAGCCGTGTGCTCGCCTGCACGCGCACCACACTCCCTTCCACGCCCCCCGCTGCACTGCCTCCACTGGCGCGGTCAGGGGGAGCAGCGGCGGTGAGGCGAGAGGGGGGCGGAGGAGGGGGGTGCGTGGAGAGGGCTTGGGGCGCGAGGCCGATGATGCGCGCAGCTCGAGCTGGGTGCGTGGGAGAGAGCAGGTCCGCCAGACAGGCCCTGGTGGGTGGTGGGGGGAGAAAGAGGGACGCGCGGTAACAGGGAGGTTGAAATGCTGAAGCGTACAGTATACTGAGGTAGTGGGGAGAGAGAGGGGAAGGTGGGGGGGAGGGAAGGAGAGAGATGGATGGAAGAATTGGAGAGGATGGGGAAAGGGGGGGAAGGGAAAAGGGGAACGGAGCAAGGTTGATGGGGTTTAGACTGTGAGTGTGAAGCAGGCAGCAGAGAGGGTGGAGGGGCGTAACGTACCTGAGCAGGAGGCTATCGGGGAAGTGATGCAGCGAGCGGATGAGATACTTGAGCGCACGTGCCAGTTGACCCTGCAAGGCTCACACAGGTGGAAAAAACAAATGGGGAGCCGATACGACAACCGAGGTGGTGAGGTGAGGAGGATTGGTGGCGGGAAATGAGGCAGAAGTTAGTGACATATTGGAGAGCCTAAGTGGAAGAGAGATGGGGAGGGGGAAAGCATGCAATGAGAGTACGGATTGCAAGTGCTCCCAGCAGCACAGCAGGGCAGCACTGGCGCCAAGGTGGCAGCAACTTGGCAGCGAGCGAGACCCCGAGCAAGGCATGTGCTCTGGGCGCCATGAGAGGGTCGCTGAAGACGGGCCGGTACTGCTGCACCGCGCGCCCTATCTCCCCCTCGTCCAGCGACGCTGCTGCTGCTGCCAGCGCTGTCAGCGACACGTCAACGCGAGTCAGCGCCAGGTCACGCGCGAGAGATGGCGAGAGGAAGAGAGAAGGGGCGAGTGATGCAGGCGGTGATGGGGAGGATGGGAGAGCGGGGGGGGAGGCAAGGAGGGCCGCATGGAGCTTCACTGCTGCTGCTGAGAGGAGGGCGTGAGAGGAGGACGAGGAGGAGGAGGAGGATGGAGATGGGGATGGGGACGGTGCAAGGTGTGTGGCTTGGGTGGTGGCGAGGGCGACAACAGCAAGGGCGTCGTCGTGGAGCGAGCAGTGGTGCAGCGCGAGGGAGAGCGCTAGCAGTGGGCGCACCGGCCACTTGGATCGGTCTGGAGAGACGGTGGATGGGGAAAGAAGCAGCAAGGGACAGAGGAAAGGGTGTTGAGCAGACCAGGGAGGCTTGGGAAGGTAAGGAGAGGCAGGACAAGGACGGAAAGGAGGCAGGTGGGTATGGAGGAGAAGAAGGTAGAATGGAGAATGGTGAAGAGGAGTGTGGGTAGGAGGCAGGTTGGAAGAAGGCTGGGGTGGCACCTTGAAGAGAGTGAGCAGAGTTGAACTCCACTACTGTCTCGCTGAACCGCCGCGCCTGTCATACCATGCCATGGCAACCCAAGACACATGCATGAGGGGTAATGTGGAGCTGGTCGCATGATGAGCAGCATGCCTGTCACAGCAGCAAGACACATTGACGGAAACCTTTCACCCACTCAACCACCATAAGGCATGCGCACGTGGGTGGGAGCATGCACTGCACCCATGCTTTCCCAGCAGCAGGGCACATACAGAGAGCAGGCACTAGAGGACATGAGGCACACTCTGGCCTTGAGGATCAAGGTGAATGGAGCGGGAGTAGCAGTAGCCGGCTGGCAGAGCGCAGCACACACATACCGCTGTGAGGGCCATGCCCACTTGCACACACGCCAGCCACACTCGCTCCGCAGGTCCTTCCTGCTGCAGCAGTAGGTGCTTGGCGGAGTGGAAGGCGTGCAGGGCGACAGAGGGCAGGAAGCGCGCAGAGGCAGAGAGGCCGAGGAGGAAGAGAGCCTCAGGAGATGCTGGGCTGCTGCTCGCCAGGTGGGCCAGCGCGCAGAAGACCTGGTGGCACAGGTGGAGAGGTGGAGAGGGGTGGAGTGCGGTGGTGGAACGTGGGTGTGGGTGAGGTGGAATGTAGCAAGTCAACTGTATCAGTGTGAAGTGAAGTGCATGGTGGCATCTCTGGTGGCTTGGCATAGGGCACAGGTCGACTCCTATGCACTCTCATGCGCTCCAATTCACTCCTTGCTCTCGCCCCCACAAGAACCATCCCACCATCCCATCCCAGACCATCACATCTCTTTTCACCCCATTCCACCACAACGCACTTCTGCCTGGCCCAGCCTGCCGCAGCGAGCTGACAGCTGCCCCAGCACATGTTGGGCGCATGGCGGCTGCACACAGAGGGTAGGTAGGGAGAGGCAGACGGGGGGAGGGAGAGAGAGGGAAGCAATTGTAGGGGGAGGGAGAGATGAAGAGGGACGCGATACCGGGTAATAGGGAGAAGGGAAAGGGAGAGAGAAAAGTAGGTGGGGTCATCTGCTAAAATCACCTAATGGATTACACATTCTCAGAGCGCGGGAGAAGTAGAAGAATGCGCGCCAATAGGTGATGAATGACAGACAGAGAGTGTGTGGGAGGCACTGGACAACACAAGAGGAACACAAACGTGCCTCTTGGCAATCCCCTGCGAGCAACCTCCCTCTCTAGTCACCATCCCCACCTCTCAGTCCTGACTTCTTCTCTGGCCCTTCCTTACCCCGTCCCCCCCCCACCCCGTGCATGCACTGACCGGGTTGGAGCACGCGGAAGCAGCAAAGAGCGCATCGGCCATGGCTGCATGCAGCGATGGACTGCGAGATAGGCAGGGGGGTGGAGGCAGGGGGGTGGCAGCAGGAGATTGGGGGGGGCACAGGAGATGGCTGACGCATGATCATATGCACGCTGAAGGAAGGACCGAGGGGATGGTCAAGGAGAAACGGACGAGCGAGCAGAGGGACAGATACAGTGATAGTGGAAAGGAGAGGGAGGGCACAAGCCCACGAGGGTGGAAAAACAGGGAGCGCAGATGCACTTTACCTGCTGTAACCATCATCATCACCAGCAGGATTAGCAGCAGCATCACCATCGTTGTGAGTGCTGCTGCGACCAGCAGCAGCGGCAGCAGCATCAGGCGCAGATGCAGCAGCGAGAGCATCCAGCTGGCGGGAGGCAGAGGCCACCCAGGGGGCGGCAATGAATGGGTCCGCCACACGCGCACGGGCGAACGCTTGTGTGGCAAGCCTTGGCTGCTTCTGGTGAAGGTACACCTGAAGAGAAAGCCAGATGAGCGATGGGAGAGAGGGTGTAAGGCAGAAAGTGTGAGGTATTTGGGCACGTGTGTGACGGATGAGTATACAACTCGTGTTGCCGTAATGAGTGTGATTACAATGTGCGGAGCGTGTAGTCTCAACAACACAAGGTGAGTACTGTCAAAATAGACTCTGGGGGCAGGAACGCATGCACGCAGGAAGGCAGGCTACAGCGGCGGTGTCAGCAGCAGCAGCACGCACCTCCCCCAGCAGCACCCAGGCAAGGGCATGCAGCGGGTCGAGCATGAGGGCATGCACGAGCGCATGCTGCTGCACCTCTGGCCACTGCCACCCCACCACAGCTGCCAGCACCACCCATGCATGCGCCCCCGCCGTGCCCTGCTGCCCCTGCAGCGCTGGCAGCAGCAGGCGAGGGGGCAGCGCGCTGAGGATGGGACATGGATGGGGGGAGGGGGAGTGGAGGGGTGTTTCGGATGGAGAGTGGACGACAGGGATGACGGTGGAGGGTGGTACAAGGGGATAGAGATGTGGAGAGAAAGACGAGTGGGAGGAGCTGGCATGGGTGACAGGGGTAGCAGGTGTACCACTGACACCAATCAACGCCAACAAGGCATGGCACGCTTGCATTGCTTGATACAAGCACGTAAGAGTGCGCCTGCTCCAATCCATACACGGCTAAAATTTGCACGCTGGCGCGCATAGCAACACAACACATCCCACACAGCACCATGGCATTGCCATACCGTAGCTCATCCACACATGCAGTGTCTAGCACCTCTGCCTTGGCCTGCCCATCACCACCCGCATGCCCACACTCCACCTCCTCCTCCTCTCCCCCGCCCCCTGCTTCCACCAGCTCCGCCCATGCCCTCCCCTTGGCCGCCGCTGCCAGTGCCAAGTCCGCCCACAGCCTTCCCCCTCCCTGCCCCCCTGCGCCCTTCACTTCCCCTCCGCCCATCCCCCCTGCTTCAGGTACCCCCAAGCTGAGGAAAGAGGCGAGGTGGGGGGAGTCAGGGGGAGGTTGTGCGGAAGGCGAGGGGGAGAGGTGCAGCGCGTGCGCATAGGAGCGCAGGGCGGAGGACGCCAGACGGAAGCGGTGGCGGCGCCATGCGAGGAGGGAGGAGGGGGTGGGGGATGCAGGCGCGGTGGTGGAGGAGGCGTGGGTGGGGGAAGGTGCGGCGAGAAGCACGGCTGAGTGACGGAGCTGATTGGGGTGGGAGGAGGGGGAGAACAGGGTGAAGGGAAAGTGAGGAGCAGAGGACAGTACTTGCTCAGGTGAGGGGAATAATGAAGCAGACATGACCCTTGCATGCACCACTGAGTAGGTGCTTCGTAATGCATCAATTACTTATGCCTCCCCTCTAGCAACTCCCCCCACCCCCAGCGGCTCAACTCCAGTCCCTGGGAGTGCTGCTGACATGCTCCTTATGGTATCAGAGACACACCTCAATGTCACCAAGAAGCTTCCAGGTTGTTGTGGATGTGGGATGGTGGGATATGGACGCACGGGCACTGGCAGCTGCGGCCTGGGAGCAGGGATGGGATGCACGGTGATGCGTGCAGCGCAGGCAAGAAGAGGGGCAAGAGGGGATGGTGTCAATGGTCATGGGCATGGGCATGGGCATGGGCATGGGCACAGAGAATGGGCATAAGTATGGGAATATAATTGAACCCAGTGGGCCTCGGTTGGCAGGCCAAGCACAGCACAGCAGGCTGTAGGGTCGGCAAGACATGCGCTTATGCTGACATGATGCTTGTGGGAGGCAAATGGGAGGCACATGGGAGGCACGTGGGAGACACATGTAGCATGTGAAGAGAGGCTGCTCATGTAGATCGCAAGGAGACATGCAGGCAGGCAGGCAGGCAGGCAGGCAGCATGGGTGCAAGGCAGGGCAGGCGGGGTGACCAGCAGCAGATCGTTGGCCCATGCAGCAGCACCATAGGAGGCCACGTGGCATGCCATGCCGTAGCGCGCTGCTGCCAGCCCCCACTGCACCGTGGCACTGCCTGCCCGCTGCGCCTCTGCGTACGAGAACAACTCCAGTGCCTGGCGGGGAGTGGCAGAGGAGATGGGTGGCATGTGGCGGAGGGGGAACGGGGGGGGAAGAGGGGGTGTGGAGATGGTTGGTGGTGAAGGGTGGCAGCGGAATGGCAGGGAGTGCGCGATGAAAGAGCATGGAGAGGAAGGGTGGGCATGCAGGGCATGGATGTGGGCGCGCCATGTCAAGCAGCAAGAGGGGCAACCTTACAGAGAGACCCGTGGGTGTTACAAGAGGGAATAGTTACATGATTACATGCTTACATGGATACATGGCTACAACGAGAGGAGGAGGAAGAGGGAACAGAGAGTCGAAGTGAAAGAGGGTTTGGGGCAGGCGGAAAGGACGCTGGAATGTAAGGAGAGAGGGACAAGGTAGTGGAGTGGGCGCAGGGAGGAGGTGGGCGATGCAGTGAGCGGTGGAGGACATACCTGGGAGTAGTTGCTCCTCTCCAGCTCAATGTGCCCACTCTGCTCCAACGCAAACACCGCACATGCCACGTCACTGCTGCTCGCACCGCCAGGTGGCGCAGCAGCAGGAGGGGCCGTGGCGAGTGCAACAGAGGCGGGGACGAGAGCCTCCAGGGCGCTCGCCACGTGCGGCAATCCCAAGGTGATCACCCGCCCATAGGCCTGCATGGATGCGGGTGGAGAGGGGTGTGGAGCGGTGGAGTGCGTTTGGTGGAGGAAATGGGGATGGAGAGGCGGTTTGGGAAGATGGAGGCAGAAAAGTGGCATTATGGTTGTGGGTGAAAGGGGAGAACGCAGAGTGTGGAACAGACGGTGCTGGTGCGGGTGGGGTTGGGGAGGAGGGGTGAGGAATGAGCGACAACAGAAGAAACGTGGTTCAGAGGACAGATGGACACGTGCAGGGAGGGCACCTTGAGAGCAGCGGAGTGTCGACCGAGCCGCTGGTAGCACAAGGCAAGGGCCTGATGGAATACCGGGAAGAGGGGTGGGGGGGGGGGGGGGGGGGGGGGGGGCGAAGGGAGGGGGTGGGGGGGGTGTTGTGAGCAGGAGGCCAGGGAAGGCAAGGCAGCCGAGGCCAGGGGAGTGAGCGGGGCACGGGAGAGTGGAGTGGCATGAGGAGCGTGTGGCGGTGGTGGTGGAGCGCAGACAGGCAACACAGGCAGTGAGCATGGTGCATGGTGCGATCAACAGGGCACTGCTGTGGTGCATCATGCTTGAGTGAGTGTGCAAGACGGGGGTCACGGAGTGTGCATGTGGATATGGAAGTGCGTGTGCGTGTGTGTGTGTGTGTGTGTGTGTGTGTGTACCCGCCAGCAGGCGGCATCGAGCACGAAGCCCTTGATGGCGGACTGCAGGCACGGCACGGCGGACTGCCACGCGCCCTCCTCCGCATGCAGCAGCCCCAGCAGCCGCCACGCCCAGAACGCCCGCGCGCTGCCCTCCACTGCCCCCCGGCACAGTGCCACCTGCAGCGACCGCTGCCGCACCGCCCCCCGCCCCCCCGCCAGCAGGTGGAAGGCCGCCTCCTGGGGGGGGGGGGGAGAAGGGGGGGAGGGGAGGCAAGGGGGAGACAGGGGGGCAGACAGGTGGAGAAGAGGAAGAGGGATACGAAGGGGAAGGGATTTCGAGTAGAGAGGAGGCGAGAAAAGGGTTTGAGTGTGAGAGCATGCGTGTGTATGTGATGCGGGTGTGTAAGCACTGACACAGCACATCTCACCCCAGCGTCGTGGTCTTCGGGATTCACGCTTACGGCCTTCTGAAAGCACTTCACCGCTCGCCCCACGTCCCGCACCACCTCCCCCCCAACCCCCCCCTTCCGCGCCCTTTTCCGTTCCCCCGCCGCCCACCACGTCTCCGCGTGTCGCCCGTCCCCCTGTTGCGCTCCGCGCGCGCCTGTGCGCGGGATAATCCCCTGGAAGCCCCCAAAGAAGTAACCCAGGCAGCGGAAGGCGTCCGCGCAGCCAGGGCTCAGCTTGCCCGCCTGAAGCCACTCCGCGTAGGCTGCCGCGCGCCCTGTCGCCCGTGCTTCATTCCCCCGCGGCTCTCCGCCTCCGCCTGCCGACGTGGCGGTTACCGCTGCCCGTTCCTCCGCGGAATTCCACAAGGCCTCGCCCTGATCGCGGGGAACGAGGACGCGATGCGGAGGAGAATAAGGTATGAGTGGACACGGTCGTCACACCAAACTTCAGAACGAGCAGCACAAGTCGACGCGAGGAGATAGGATGAGCAGCGGGGAATGTTACGAATGGGTCATACCAGCAGAAGATGGTACTCGCTCTCGTCGGGCCGCGCGGATACGGCCGCGCGAAGAAGATCGGCGGCTTCGGACCACCCGTGGTGAGAAAGCGCGACGCGCGCGAGGCCTGCGAGAGCCGCATCGTCCGCAGGGTTGGCCTGCAGGGCTGCACGAAGCGACGCCTCGTCTGGCGTCGCGCCCTCCATTTGGATCGTGTTTCCGAGAAACACGCTGACAGAGACGCGTAGAAGGTTCTATACCGCGTTGATCATGCTCTTGTACACCAAGGCCCAGGCCCGCATGTCACGTGAGCACACTAACGCGGCATTTAGTCCCCAACTATCTAGGCATGGCAAGCACACCAACAGATTCTAGTGTTTCCACTAGGCTGATTTCGCTTATTCCTCCAGCGTGCTTCTCTGATTTAGCTTAGGGTGCGATCTCCGCCCGTCTCAAGCTGTCTCACACAAGGCTATCAACTTCCCCGATCATTCCACATCAGCATCACTTCTTCACAGCTTCGTGTCGAGGTTCGACCTTCCTGAAGAGTTTTGCAACCCGACCTGCTGGATGGCATCAGTGTGCCACCCTCATGTGCACCCCCCCCCCCCATTTTCCACCACTCTCCTTTGCCCCATACAGCAGCCCCCCTGAGCGACACTACCCTACTCACACTGTCCTTTTTGGGGAATCATTTCGTTTCCTCCCCACAGATCGACTAAACGTACGCCCTTCTCTGTTTGTCCAGCTTTCAGTTGCTGCCTCTCTGGTGAACCTCCCCGATCGATAGCGCGATGGCCTCCTCGGCCCAAACTACCCGCCTGTTAGGCTACGAAGCTAGTCAAACCCTAAGCCGCCTAGGCAGGTTCCCCCTATACGACTCAGCTTCGTTTCCAGGTAAGTTTATGCTATCGTTTTTCCTTTTCTTTTTCTTTTCTACAGCTCTCGTTTTCACGTGGCTACTCCCCACCCCGGCTCTACACCAGCAGGATAGCCCCCCACTCCCCGCCCCCTCCTTTTTTTTGACTCCAATTGGCCACTCCCTCCCCCAACGGATCCCTGGCGGACTCCCTCCCAGCCTCAACGCGCCACGTCAACCTTCGTTCCAGGTAAGTGCAACCCTCCCCTTCTTTTTTTCCCCCGTGGCATCTCGCGCTCACTGCAAATTTCTGCTCCAACCTCAGCGCCAGCTAAACCCAACTTCCCTCCCTTTTTTGTGCGCACTCACCCAATCTCACGCCACTCCCTCGCCTCAGCCCCGTCCCCTCCCAGGAAGCTCGGTTGCGTTGTTTCCAAACCCTCACCAACAGATCGGCCTCCTCCTGCCAAGCTGTCCCGTTCTGCATCGAACTCCAAGGACTTCCTCGACAAACTGCAATCGCCGAATACAGCTAACCCCCCATCTCCTCCCGTTTTTCTGGTCGCCTTCACCCCTGCCTTCGTCCCGCCTTTTTCGCCTACGTGCTATCTCCTCTTGCCTCTGTACTTCCGTGCCTTCCCAAGCGCCAACACTCCCGGATCTCCCGTCCCTTCTGGCAATTTTGCTGCCTTTGCCCCGCTTTCCACTCAATTGCCGCCTCCGGCAGAGCCCACTACATGGCTCAGAAACTTGGCGCGCCGCCTAGGCTGCCAGTTTCGTTTCTCGCGCGCAAGCGCTCGGACCCTCGAACGGTCCCGGGTTTCGGGCTGCCAACTAGGCGCCCACTCCCGCCTTTGGCCCTCAATTTACTCGCCACGTCGCCACGTTTCCCGTTGCCTACGCGCTGCCCATGCGTTTCCCGACACTCCCCTTCCCGTCCGCCCTCCTCCCAACCCTTCCCAACGAGCCGCCATCAGAGCCTCGCCTCCACGGCCTCACGCCCGTCCGCCTCCGCCGCTCCTCTGCCTCCCCTCCGTCCTGACGCTCCCCCGCAGGCGCTCCCTCGCTCCCGCCCTATTTAACCCACCTCAGCCTTCGTCAATCACTCACTTCTCTCCTCCCAGTCCCCTACGACTCCTTTACACATTCTTCTGTATGGCTGAGCAGGTTTTCAACCCCGATCTCACGATGTCCGCCGCTGAAGAGGAAAATATCGCTGAATCCGGCGACGATCTCTTGGTCGACGACCTTCCCGAAGGACTACTCGATGACCTCGCGAGCTCCCCTGACCACCCTGCTGCGAAGAAGCCCTGCATGGACCCCGGTGCTGGCCCTGCTAGCTTCAACTCCCCCTCCACCTCCTCCGACTCGGCGCTGGCGCAGCCCGCGCCGTCTCCTGTGCTCCTCGCTGCCGCTGCTGCTCTCACGTTGACTCAGCAAGGCCATGCGCCCTCTCTGGCAGCAACAGCTGCCGCCCCCAACGCCCCGGTTCTCCGCGCTGCTGCCTACGCAACGGCCGCCTCCGGCGCTAACCCGGCTCCCGCGCTGCCCGCCTCGCTCTTTGCCTCATCCGCGCCCGGCGGACCCCCCCGCAACCTCCGCCGTGCGCGCACCTCCGCAGCCACCCCGATGCTCCTTCCCCTTCGCCGCCGCGTGGTAGTCACGCTCCTCCTCCCGGAGGCCGTGTTGGAGTCGCACCGCACGGAAATCCTCGCCGGAATCAACGCGCAGCTGTGCGGCTTCATGTTCGATTCGGGCATCATCCCCCCCTTCGAGCACACTGTCGGCGACTCCCTCCGCGTGGCCCGCCACGTGTACGGCCGACTGCTGTTCTCTTGGCCGTCGCAGGAAGACGCGGCTGTTTTTCGCAAGCTTTTTCCTCTCATGCTGAAAATCTCCAACTCCCGCCCCGTCATGTTGAAGGTCTTTGTTGATCGTTATGAAGCTTTTACCGCGGCAAAGGCAGCCGGCGCTCCTACCCTGTCTATCTGAAACGTCCCCCTGGAGATCGATCCGGAGGAGATCCGCGCCTTCCTCCTCGGGTCCACCGAGGAGGATGGTTCGCATTGGCTCGCGGATCTGACTGACTTTCACCGCGCTTCCGACCCCTACGAGAACACCTTTTTCACTCACCTCGCAGGACTCCCGGTCGCCACCCCCGATGACCCGAATTTCGAACGAATCCCGTCCGAATTCCTGCTGGAGGAGAACAAGCCAACTATGCTGCTCAATTTCTCCTGCCACGTGTGCACGCTGTGCGGTAACAACCACCGCGCACCGGACCACGAGACTTTCGCTGCCCGCCACCGAGGACGCCTCACGAACAAGAACACCATCTCAATCGCTCAGCTGCAGCAGGCAAACGGTACGAAATCTTCCCCTCTTGTCTTAACCGCAAAAATCCTCCCTCCCTGTTGTCATTGCACGCCCTTAGCCTGCCTCCGTTGCCTCCTCATGTGCTCCTCCGCTGCCCCCCATCCTCTCACCACTCCCCCCTCGGTCTACCCCCTCCCTATCGCGTAACCTTCATGCTCCCATCCAACACCCGCGCTCCCCCCCCCCGCTGTCCTTCCCTCCCTAAGAGCCCCCGCCCCCCACTGCCTTGCTGTCCCCCCCCCGCACGGCCGTCCGGGCCCCTGCCACCCCCACTTTCATTCTGCCCCTACCCACTCCCCTCGTTCCCTCCCTTCTCACTCCTCTCCCTGTGCCAACTGCCCCCCCTCACCCTGTCCTCCCCCCTGTCACCCACCCCTCCCTTACAGCCCCCCCACCCCCCGGCCCCCCATGTTGTGGGGCTCCCACTCAACCCCTTTTCCCCCCCACGCCACCCCCCCCTCCCTGCTCTTTCCAACACATGCAGGCAAGCCCCCGCCCAAGGACGCTCAGCCCCTGTCACCTCTGTACCCTCCTCTCCCCCCCCTACAGTCGGGCCTCCGCCCACCCTCACGACTCCCCCATCTTCCCACACCCCCCACGCAATCTCCGCATCGCGAAATCTCTTTCTCACCCATGATCCCCCACCCCCTGCCCCTACCCACGTCAACCCCACCCCCCACTACACTCCCGCCCCTTCCCCCTCGGAGGACAGTACCCCGCCCTCCCACAAGCTCGCCCCCCACCCGCACCCCCCTCCCACTAGCAGACTGGACCCTCCTACGGTACCCCCCTCTCTGCCCCCTCCCGACACTCCTCCCACGATCTCTCCAGAGGGCGGGCCCCCTGCCCAACCTTATGCTGGCATGGAGACGCTCCTCTCCCCCTGCCCTATCCCCCCCTTTTCAACCAGCACCCCTCTCTGCTCCCCCGACCCCCCCGACTTCCCCCCCCCACTTCCTCTCCCCCGATTCCCCTCCTCCCCCCCCCCTATCCTCAATCTCGCCTTCCCCCCCCTCACTCTTTTCAACCCCCTCTTCACTTTCTTCACCCCCCACCCACTCAGGAACCCATCTGCAACCGCCCCCTGTGCTATAACCGGGCTGCCCGATCCCCACCGAGGCTCCCCCCCTCTGCCAACAGCCCTCTTCCCCCGGCCTCTCCCTCATTGCTCTCGGGCAGGCCGATCCACCCCCCTCTGGCTCCTTCTCCCCCCCCCGCCTGGGCCCCCGAACACCCCTGCCCCTCCCCCGCACCTCCCACCCCTCTCTGCACCTCCCTCCACCCGCAGCCAACCAGACCTCATGGTCTCCCCCCTCTTGGCCTTCACCCCCACATCCCCCTCCTCCCTGACTCCCCCTCCCCTCCCCTCGTCCACCCCCTCGTCCCCCCTGCCCCCCCTGTCTCCCCCCACCCGCCTCCTCTCTTGCAGGCAACTCTTTGGGCAATCATGCCGCGCCGACCGCCTTCGGCAACGACCCCGGCCTCCTCTACATTGGGCTGGGCGATTGGGTCGAATATTGGACCTGCGCTCTCTGCGACTTCACCTGCGGCGCTGCCCTCGACAGCGCCATGGAGCATATCCAGTCCGACCTGCACGTCAACCGCGTGAAGGCCTCCGCTCACCGCCCGGCTGCCAAGGAAGAATTTGGCCCCTGGCGCGCACTCACCCTGCTGCAGCAGAAGGCCCCGGTGGCTGCCTTCCTTCGCGGTCGCCCTTAGCGTTACGACCTGCGCACCTTGGCTTTGATGCGTGGCTAGTTCCTTGGCTCTGTCATTTAGCAGGCACCCAGTTAGACCTTGGATATGCAACTCATGTGCGCACAATCATGTTTGTCAAACTCTACGTATTATCATTTTCCTTGCTAGTCTTCACTCCAACTCTCACATCTACGCAAAAAACCAAATACGCCATTTTTAAACCCTCACCCCAACAACTACTCAACCCCACACCTGCCTCACCCACCTCACGCTTCTACCAACCTTCACCCCTCGCGCACAGGCCAAGCCAGCCACCTCAGGCCCTGGCCAGCCCGGTGGAGTTGCGTCCCCCCGCACGCGTGTGCTTCAAGCCAACCACCATGATCACACACCCTCACAATTGTTGCCTTACCGTGAACAGTCCAAACCAAGCCCCAACAATGAACGACCTTCGCAGTCGGCTAACCCCCCAAAATACTAACACCAATACCCCAACCCCGCTTGACACTCGCCTAACGCGCAGCCATGTCAAGCTCACTCTCACCATGAATCACCAGAGCGAGCATCCACGCCTGTTTATCACACATGCCCCCATTTGTACGCCCGACCGCCGTCAGCGGCCGCAACACCTCCTCACACCCGCCTTAAAATCTCCCCCTGTAATCGTGGCCTCCCCTCCCGCCAGAGGTTCTCACTCGGTCGACGCACCTACCGACCGAAATCAACCCTCGCACGGACACAGAAGAGGCGAGATGGTCCCGCCAGAGAGCCCCCCTCGTCCGCCTGCCACCACGTTTGTTCCTGCTGACCCTCGTCCGCATGCCCCGCGTTACTTCGCTACTTGTTCTCATACGTCGTCATGGTTGACATGCTCCACCTGTGAATACGCTAGCACTCCCGACCCCCGGTGTACTCTCCTTCTCGTCACTACCCAGGAATACAACTTTTACTGCTCTCATAAAGGCAGACTCATCCCACGCTTCACCTTGCCGCATTCAAGCATTATTGATCACACGCCACCTATCAGCTTCGCTACTACTCAAAACTGGAGCCCTTCACTTCTCACTCTTAAGTTTAACACACACTTGCTCAAGCTTCACTTGTATGCGGCACCTCTACACCCTGGTTCTGTCGCCCAACATCTCCCTACCTTCTTGTGCGCCTCTGGTGTTGTCCGAATCAAACCAGTATGCCAGCATACCCACCACCAACTTCGGTTCGCACTCGTTGACAGCTCGACTGTTACCCACAACCTCCACCAACTTCCTTCCCTTTTGTATAAACACCCACGCCCGTGGATCCGCGCACACTCCTGCGCGGTGGGCTCCCACCTGGTAGAATGTTAACGCCCCTACGAGTCCGCTGCCTCAACATCAATGGTATCAATACGCCGGTTAAACGAAATGCTCTAAAGCGTTGGCTCTCCTCCTCCTCACCGCACACAGATATTCTCATTTTAGTGGACACACGCCTCTCCAAAAACCTACCTAAACTATCACTCCAACTCCGGCCACACTCTTCGGTACACGCACCCACCCTCTACGCACTGAATTCAAACGGTCATCCATGTCCGCAACCCGGCGGCATCTCCATCTTATCCTTCAACAGAGCAATATCTCTCACCTCCCCTTCCCCCTCCGCCGATGGCCGCCTTCTATCCGTACATATCAACTTCCTGCGGGAGCAACTTCGCATCCTCGCTATCTATGCGCCGAGACCTGCCACTGACTGCCGGATCTGGTGGAGATCCATCCTAACTCCCGCACTGGAGCAACCCACCGCAGCTGCTGCCACAATCCTCGCCGGTGATTTCAACTCGGTAATCTCCCCCTCAGACCGTAACCGCCCGCTACTTGGTCACGAACTCAGCGAAGCCACCATGGTGTCTAATCTCCTGCTATCGCACGCACTGTCCGACGTGTACCGCTCACTCCACCCTACCGCCCCCGTTTTTTCCTACTTTGGCCGACGGGCCAGCGCTGGCACTGCTCTCCCGCCCGCCTCCAGACTGGACCGACTCTACCTCTCCAGTTCATTCATCCCTCGGGCCTCTGAAACCTCCTACCTCTGGACCCCAACTGACGTTTCTGACCACTCCTTTGCACCCCTCTGCACCCTCACATTCGACAACCCAACCATGGCACCGCGACCTTGGCGTTTCAGCTCCTCTCTCCTCCACCGGCCCCAAGTCGCTACCATAATCGAATCTCACCTCCCCTCCCTGCCATCACGCCCTTCCTCCGATGCATGGGACGCCTGGAAACTGGCCCTCACGCTTAGCCTCAAAAGTTTCTCGAACGAAGAGCGCAAAAGGGTTACAGGCACTACAAACCACCTAGTACAACTCATTAGCCACCTTCAGCTCCAATCTGCCCTCTCCCCTCTTGACCATGATGCGACCACACAGCTCCTCAAAGCCCGCACTCAACTAACAAAATACGAGGCATCCAAAACCGCCGAGCTCGCTCTAAAAGCAAAGCTCAAAGTCGAGGGCCATAGGGAGATGGGAACCTCCTCCTTGCTGGCAGGACTCAACTCCCGCATCAAAGACTCATTAATCTCCTCGCTTATACTACCAGATGGACAAACCATCTCAGATCTACGAGCCATGACCGCTGAATGCACCAAATTCTTCCAGTCTCTCTACAGCGGGGCAACCTCGGACGTGCCAAATCCTGCCTTCTGGGCTCATATCCCCCCCTCTTCACTCCCCCCCAGACTCCTCAACCATCTGCAAGCTCCCTTTTCCCTAATGGAAATTAGCAAGGCCTTAAACCAGCTCTCCCGTGGCAAAACCCCCGGCCCTGACGGCATCCCGGGCGAGCTCTTCCGACAATACAAGACCCGCTTCGCCCCCGCATTTCTCTCACTCTTCTCCTCATCGCACATCTCCGCTACCCTCCCGCCGTCAATGCTGTCAGGCCGCACAGTCCTTATTCCCAAGAGGGGTAGCTCCTCTATGATCGACAACCTCCGCCCTATCACCCTCATGAACTCGGACTACAAGGTGCTAGCCTTATGCCTTGCCAATCGGCTGCAACTCGCTCTTCCCCTGATTATCCACCCCTCCCAAACCGCTTTCATTAAAAGCAGGAAAATTGGCGATACGATCAACGATACACTCGACATTTTCGACTGGAGCACAATCACGAAAACCCCACTTCTCGCCTTAACGGTTGACTTCCGCAAGGCCTATGACCTGGTCGATCGAGCTTTCCTCTTCCAAGCGCTTGCCAGGGTGGGACTCCCCGAGCAGTTCATCGCCTGGGTTCGCCTCATGCACACTAGCACCTCCACCTGCAACTCTGTTAACAACCTCGCTGGACCCACCTTCCCAGTCCGAACCGGGGTCCGACAAGGATGCCCCCTCGCCCCCCTCCTCTTTGTGTGTGTCATTGAAATCCTACAGCGCTACCTATCGCTCTTCCTCCCGGGTTTCCCCCTCTCTACGACGCAGCGCCGTCTCATGGCCTGCTACGCTGACGACGTCACCATCTTCCTCTCCTCTGCTAGAGAGCTTGGGACCACACTCATACACCTCCGGACCTTTGCCGCAGTCTCAGGAGAACACCCCAACTGGAACAAATGCTCAATAATTCCTTTTCACATCTCCCCGGAACAAATCCTTCTGGCTAGCCCCATTCCCATTCGCACTCCTCAAGAGGCAGAACGCATTCTTGGCATCTACGTTGAACGTGCACAACCAGGCGCCACTACCTGGTCCACGACTCTCTCTCGCGTTCAACGCACGGCTAAGTTCCTCGCCGCCCTTCGTGCCACAGCCACCTGCCGCAAGTCACTTGCGTCAGTCTTCTTAAACTCTATCATCTCCTTCCCCGGCCGCTTTCAAACCCCCTCCCCCGACGTTATCAAACGCTTAGACATCTTGGTCGGGAACTTTCTATCCTCTTCGCGCTTCAAGGAGCACGGCCTCGCGATCCGTCTCATCCCTAATCGGCTCCTGTATAACTCCACCCGCCACGGAGGCCTTGGAGCGATTGCCCCCTCCACCCAAATCCGTGCTCTAGCTGCTCATCGCGCGCTCCGTCGCCTCGGCGCCTCACCATCAGAAGAGGTAGCCAGAGCCGCCGTCTGCCTCCCATTTGGCACACACTGTCTCTTCGCGCACCCTGCCATCCTTCAAGCAGGCATTCTGCCGACGATAATCCCAGGTCGAGCACTCGCTGAACTACACGCATTAATAGAGATCACTCCGAACATTGCTCCACCTCGCCTTGTCCCTATGTGTATAATGGGCGAGCCTACCGCCTTCAATCGTTTCATTCTCAAACCAAACGGGAAGCCCTTCGGAATTCTCACGCGTGAACACTTCCTCCTATCTAAGCAGGTCCGTGTCGGCCATTTGATCTCTCTTATCTTCCACTCGTTTGGTGTGGTCTCCTTCAAACACTTCACCTCACTGTTTCCCATAGCCAACTCCTCCTCTGGATGAAGAGTTTGGCGCGAACTCATCCGTGCCATCCCCAAACCTTGGTGGTCAGCCCTTCACTCCCCCCCTCCCCCCTCGGCAGTCCCTGGGGAGTGGTTCGTCCCTAAAGATGACTCCGAGACCTCTCCCACTATTGCTTTCCAGGTCACGGCCTTCTCCCCTCCGTCGTCACTCTCAGTCTCCCTTTACCATGTCCTGCCCAACCGATTCATCATCCGACCGTCGATCGGAGATGGCACCTTTCACATAGGTGCCCTCTCTGCGGTACACGTTGTTGGATCCTGGCTTGCAGGCCCCTTCCATACAGGTGCAGGGCTCGGCGCGCGGCTCGACATCCTTCGGGACGGCTGCCCAAGCGTAGCTGACATTCGTCGCCGGCTCTACGCTCAACTTCCCCTCGACCACGCCGCCCGCTGGATCCACGTCCTCCCCGCTCCTCCTCCCCTCCTCCCCGACCTCTCCCATGCCTTTTTACGGGAGCAACCCAGCCTCCAACGCGACGTCTTGTACCGGTTCTACACTCGCGCTCTTCCTTCGGGTTCACGCTTCAACTTCGCCGCAGACCGTGGGA